AACGAGAGCCTCACCACCTAGCCCTCGTCTTCCTTGTTGTGCGGCCACATAAAGAGCTCACCGACTAGCCCGTATCTTCTTGTTGTTCGATCAAGTGAGAAAGCTACGTCTGAGGCCCGAATGTTCGTGTTCAAGCCTCACGCCAAGAATCGCCCGAGAGTCGCCGAGACTCACGTGTCCTTCACACGCCTCGTTTTCTCTAGTTCTTGTTTAATTGTTGTGTAAGTGAATTCTCTAATCTCGGGAAAGGATGATGAGATGCGTTGTGACGTGGTTTGCTTGGACCGTGTTCGGTCTTGATTGGTTATCTCTTTGGCTTGTTTATGTTTTGTGTTTGATGTTCATATCTCGAGATAGAAGCCGGAATTTGGCTAGTGATGTTCACGTGTTATAGCCATTCTTAGAGTTCTCTAGTATTTGTCGGTATGAACTTTGCTATTGATTTGCCATCGACGCCGGTGCGGTAAGGGCCGACTCATGTTAACGGCGATCGATTTATCCTCACTTGACATTAGTGTTTTCATTTGCTGAGTCTCCCCGACTCATCCCCCGTTTTTCTCTCTCAGGTCCATAGGATGGTCGAACGGACGGCGGTGACAGGGGAGAGTTTGAGCCATGTTGGAGTTCGGGGAAAGCTAGGAGCTGTGAATTCGAAGTAGTGGGCTTAGGACACCCAAGCCATAACGTTTGCTATGTGTAAATGGCTAAAATCGGCTAAGTTGGCTTGTAAATATGTTTGCGTGTCCTGTAAGTATAAGGTTTGCTTATGATGCTGTTTGTCTTAATCCCGCTGTTTATTTTAAATGTGATTGTCCCGAGATATGCTTCCGCTTGTGTTTAAAGAAAGATAATAATGAACGGGATGTCACGTTAATGATCCCGAGGTGGGGGCGTTACATGAGCAATCACCTCAAACGCTATAGTAAGTGGGTTGAGATGAGACGATATGTACTATAAATGTTGGAAGAGCAGTTTAGTACATAAAACGATTTAATGTCGCCTTGATTGGAATCAAGATGAGGTTTGTTATTCGTATGTGATAATACCGAATATGATAGTCCCACAATCATGTATGCCCGAAGGTAGCCGGATGCGAGTACTAAATTGGGCGCTGTGGAAAGCGAGCTGATATAGCACTCGGCTAAACATGAGTACGTGAGAAGCATGTGACTATGTTTAGGCTAAGATTCGTATAGTGGATATGATTAATATATGACATACGCTCTTATAGAAAGAGAAATCCACTATAGCATGTAATTCATACTACATGTGCTTTATTTGACCAATAAGGAAGATGAGTACAATTATCCTTATTTATTCATCGTGTGAGTCCTTAAGGTAATTTATAATTTACCTTACTTTGTGCCATATGTTACTTCGACTATGTTCTCAAAATAGAAGATCAATGTTGCTACTTTAGCATGTTACCGGCGGTCATGAATAGATATGGTTTTTATGGGATGTGTCGAGGAAAGCAATTGTTTCGAAATGGAGAGAGACATGAGTGCGAAGGAAGACTATTGTTGTTTTACATCTATCACATGTGTTTATTGGTCGACCAATTATTTCGCCTTCAATGGATTTCGGAAATAATTGTAAATACATGGTGTTTTTTGAGAAAAGTCAAGTATAGCCTTTAAGGGATAGGTATACTTGGACTGATGTAACAAAATATGTCCGGGCACTGTGAGACATCAATTGTTTATTTATTTTTGGGGTTGTAGCCATTATGTTGTCCCTAACAGGTGCATATTAGAGCTCCCAAGTGCGTGTGTACTCACCGGTCGCACGGCTTTCTTGCCGAGATGAATTGTTTCTAAGGTAGATGAATGTTGAATGCCTTATGTTCTTGATAGAGCATCATCAAACCCATCATGTGCGAGTGGGAGATGTTATATTTGTCGGTCCGCCCATGATATGTGTGTCCAAGGGACACCATTTGCTCTAATAAGAGGTGTGTCTGAGAGACACCTTTGAAGAGGTGCGAGGAGAGTTTCTTAATGGCAGTTAAGATAACTTCTTCGGTAGACGAACAATTGACATGAGAAAAAATTCAGAACTCTCTCTCTCTCTGACACATTAGGATTCTGTATCTACTTTGAGAAGACAATCGGCATTAACGCTATGGAACAAGAATACTTTCCTTGTGATTGTATTCGGACCAACGTGTAGTAGATTTGTTCATCGTTTGCTGGTGATTCAATATACAATTCTGGAAATTTTGTTTGGAGTGCATCGAATAGGTTAGTCGATTCTCCCTACACTCGCTTCCAACACAAACATTTTTAAGTTTAGTGCAATAAAATTAATTGATGAACCAATTCTGTTGACGTGACATGCTGAGATCCTATACGGATCGTATTATACGAATCAAGAACTGACCGATTATAATAACTAGCTATTCATAATGAAAATTTTAAGTTGAAATCATAAATATCAAAGTATAGCATTTAGATGCAAGAGTCAAATTTTCTCTTTATATTGTTTTATAGTAGATTTCTTCTGTAGAGATACTACATATATGTAATATGGATTTTATATGACATTATAGTTGTAATTACTCTCATATTTCTCAATTGCCCTAATATCTATAACTATGTTTATTTAAAAAAAAAGGTTTCTCTTAATATATTTTTTTAAAAAAAAGTATTTTCTCATTCTCTAAATGTCAAATTTTATCGTTATTATAAGAATATTTTTCTCTAAACTTTTACCTATCTTTGCGAAATCTAAACTTTAATGTGGAAAAGAGAGGACTCATTTCATAAGTGAATGTATTTAATGTGTAAATTTCACTTTTAATACGACATATCGGATTAGAATATACCGTCTTCGGTCGGTTTACGTTCTATATTTTCTTTTCCTTCTCTACGTTTTCATATGTAAATTTATTGTCAAGAACTAAATTGGCTCTTGATTATCACATGATAATATACTTTAAAATAACCCATACTAACTAAAACAATATAAGCAAAATTGGTCTTAATATGTGTTTTAAATAAAAATAAATATATATATTTTCACAAAAATCAATTTGCGGAGGAGGGTGGCTCCTATATAGTCGCTACTTGGGTCAAGGCCGCAAGGATACGGGTCCCAAGGAGAGAGATATTTTCATGGATGGGCGGCCCATGTGTAAAATTTTAAAAAAGCTAATAAGTGCATCTTAGTAAAACAAATTTAGGAATGAAACAAACTTGAAAAAAAATCTTATGGCTAAAGATACTATTTGTAAATTAAACTATACGCATTTCATAAAATTTATTATTACTAACTTGATAACTAATATTCACTTACTGACAAAAAAAAGAGCTAAAATTCGCTTAATTTAAAGAGAATAACATAACCGATAACTAAAAAGAATAAAAAAATGTATGTTACCTCGATTTAAATATTTGCTGCCGTACATAAACCAAAGGTGACCAGGTTTACCTATGGCGATGAAATTGATTTTCGTCGCCTTTGGTACCCCTCAGGCAACTTTGTCGCGCAAATTTTGGCAATGAAATTGAAAAAATCGTACCCAATGGGCAAAGAAACTAACTAGGTTTATCACCTTAGGTTTTTTTCTTTAATCTTTTTTCATTTTAAACATCTTTTATTAAAAGTCGTTTTCTTAAAATCAATTTGAGCTAAGGCAAGAATACCATGATTTTGTCACTTTGGGTCCGACCTAAGACGACGGAGTTTTATTTTTGTTGCTGTAGGTCGGAAACTTTTCCTCCTCAATATAAGGTACGAATTTATTTCGCTTTAGGTCTAACCTAAGGTGACGAAATTTCATATTTCTCACCGTAGGTTTATAATTGTCCCACCTTTAATTGAATCAATGGCGATGAAAGCAAAAAAAAATTTCGCTTAAATTTTATCCAAGGTGACAAAACTCGGTATGGCAAGCCGTTTAGCTGCCTTAGGGTGTGACAAGCCATTTTTCTTGTAGTGTGCAGTAATAGAACAAGGCTGTATTGTAATAGCCATTACGCGTAATGTAACATAATTGTAATGACTCTCATGCTGTTTGGTTTAAGTAATGTAATACTTATTACACAAGTTTGATTTAATCAACAACATATATAAGGAAAAGCCAATAGCATCATAATTCCCATCTTATCCCTTAAATCAGAATTAGATGGATTATAATAATCATCGTCTTAATTGGTCAATCATGATTCATCAGTTTAATACACCGTATATATATTATCATATATTTGTAATGTTATTTCCATTCAACAATATATTTGCCATTATAATTTAAAGAAAAGCACATGGGATGTGATTATATATTAAAGTGTTAGAATTAACACTTTATTAGGAATTCATGAGTGTAATACCCATTACATTATGAAGATATCACAATTTAATATATTACTTTCTATATGTTATTTAACCATCAATTGAGTAATATGATCTAAAGTTAATCCTACTGTATAGTTACATTAAAATGAAAATTATATTGTTACGTAATTAGTAGTATACTTGACTTAACTAACATGTAAATTATTGAGTATTAGTTAATATAATTAGTAATTAAGATGATCTTTGCACTATGAGTAATATAAGATTTACTTATGAAAATTTAGATTATCATACCTAATAGTAAGGAACTAATACATGCCTATTATAATATTCGACTACTTCTTAATGTAATAATAATTGTATACAACACAATTATCTTCACATCAATAAATAAAAAAAATATCTTTCAGTATATTATTTGCTATAAAATGTGATTATGCCAAAAATATCGTAATTGGTGTTACGATTACATAAAAATGTTAATATTAATCATAATTAATATGAACTTTAGCTGCAATTAATATAATAACGAGAGTGGGGTATGAAACAAGAAACTAAACCTATAAAATTCCTATTATATGCCTAGGAAAAAGAAGTTCTAGTGAAGAAAGCGTTGCTGTTCCTAAACAAAACTCCAACGACATGTAAACGGGGTCACTAAGCAAGTAAGACTCCGTAAGGAAAAACTATGATGATGAAAATCTCTAACATAAGTCCTGACCAGACCCGACCCCGTTGCTAGACCGCGTCCCGATCTTCATGCAGTCGATCGGCGGGGAGATCGGCGTGTTCAGCTGCCCGAAGGTCTGCCAACAGAAGGGGCCGTTGTCGTGAGAGGGGGGCTTCTGCGACGATGGCCTTAAGTCTATTGCTGACAGGGTGATGTCCTCGCAGGGCACGCTGTCGCTGCAAGCTAAGTCCACCGGTCTCTCTGTGTACGTCCCTGAGATTTTCTCGTAGGCGATGCTCCGCACCGCGACGGCCGACGATTGGTTCGTGCACATCATGTGGTCGCAGTAGTACTGGTCGATGATGATCGGCCATCGGACCTCGGAGACTCGAACGTTTGAGAACTTCACTCCGTAAACGGCGCCCGTCCCGCCCTGCATTGGACACAATGCATTCATAAAAAGATATCAAAGAGCTAGGATATTATAAATTGTCAATTTCCTTTATGATTTTCAAGGCTGCTCATCTTAATGTCGTTCGGGATGCAAGTTCTTTTTACCTGCCATGACTTTATCCTAACGCCGTTTGTCGTCCCGTGCAGATCCACGTTTTGAACAGTAATGTTGTGCACACATGCTCTAGAATGGTCTTTTCCTAAGCTTCCGATGCTGATCCCGTGCCCCGGACCGCAGTGTACATCGTGTATGTGAATGTTGGAACATCCGCTGGCAATCGAAATGCAGTCATCCCCTGTATGAAACATGGTAACAGAATCCAAATTGAGCATTCTATTAATTGAAGAAATGTAACATTCAATGTCTCTGTGTTTCCTATGGAACTTTCCTGGAACTACAGCGAGCAGAAATTTCGATTACCGCAGGCGAGAGTAGCATCATGAATGGTCACATCTTGGGAGTTCCCAAGGTGGATCCCATCGGTGTTGGGGCTGTCGCCCGGGGACGAAATGCTCATATCGTGCACGTGAACGCCGGTGCAGTGGTCGAATGTGAGGTGGAAGTTGGGGCTGTTCTGAATCTTAATGCCGCTAAACGTGACATTAAGACAGTGATCGAACCTCATTGCCTGAGCAACCAAACCATAAAAGGAATAATAAGACCATATCAATCTTTTGCATGATCACACAATTTGGCAGACTCTGGTGATTATAGCTAGGAATGTTTTTGTTCTTAGTTCTTACAGTTGGTTTGCTCCGGGGCATTGAACTCAACTCATCTTTCGCCTGCCACAAGTTCAACAAAAGAGTAAACATGGAAACATGATCAGTCGAATTCTCAAGAAATGATTTTGCAAGCCCAACAACAACACTGCCATTTATGTGTAAGTCGGTATTTAAATATGAAATATAACAAAAATGATGCGCGGAGTGCCAAGATGTTACTCGTGATCTATATTGCGATATCATGTTGGACAACTCGAGATAGTCTCCATTTACCCTTCTTCCTATAGTGATTACTTCCCAAATTAAATACTAATGAGTTCAAGGAAATCAAAATCACGTGAGAATTCAAGTCACGATTTTTGCAAGTAAATCATAAGGTAATTACGCACAAAGAAAATTCATAAGTAACCCTAAAATGTACTTATTTAAGTCAAGACAATAATCACCCAAAAATAAGAAGTCATGGACTATAGGCATCTGAAGATTTATGCATCTGAAAAATTTGCGTGTGTTCACAATTTACAAATTTTATTTGTTGCGATTAACATGGCCTTCTTAAGACAAATTAGCATCTTATTGATGGTTTAAAAATTCTATTGGAGGGTAAACTATAGATATCCTTAATTAGGACAGGCGGAGGTGCTTGTCACCTGTATATCCTCGTCCTCGTAGTCCATTTCAACGTCAGCATCATCATCGACATCGAAAAGGTCATCATTGAGATCCTCAGATTGTGAGCGGTGCCACCAAACAGAGCCTCGACCGTCGACAGTTCCGCTTCCTTGCAATGTGAAGCGACTCAGTTTGTCGAAGTGGAGCCAACGGTCTATACCATCGTCACCCCAAGCCTGGGGATCCGTCGGAGCCACTACCGTCCCATCTAGCTGAAAAATATCCAAACCAAACGGTGTTAGTGTTGATCAGAACGGATTACAGTAAAAGATCATCTTTTTGGGGGAGTTAGATACATTGCGAGTGTGTTATCTGAACAAATTTTAAAAAGAATGCACAATGCTTATATTTTTCCCGTCGCTATATCTGTACCTGGAGGATAATGTCTTCCTGACAGTGTTCACCCACGAACGAGATGGGCCCAACAAGGAACACGTAGTTTGCAGGAACCACCATTGTTGATGCCTCCTCGTTGCATGAAGCTGCCCATGCATCTTGGAATGCCTGTGAGACACAACAGAAACAGAAAAGAAAGAATTTTACTCGCTCATCTAGTTAATTCTTAACGTTAATAAGAGATCATGGAGCAATTAGGCTTTTTATTAGTGGATAGACTTATGTTGACCTGTGCCTTCTCAGTTGAGCCAGGCTAGGGATTAGATTTTAATTACTAAACTCGTCTACTCAAGTGATTTGACAAAGAAAGCCTTCCTACGTGGGACACTCAGCGTTTCATCTTTTTTTTAGCGATACATTCTAAACAAATGTCACATGATATTCCGAAGGACACTTCGAGAACAACTTAAAGAGTATAAGGTATAGAAAAGGAGGTAGAGCACAAGTGTGTCGACCTTTGTGTCGTCAGTGTTCCCATCGCCCTTGGCGCCAAAACCTAGCACATTGAAGGCAGTAGACTTGCTTGGTACTGGTGGTGTTGGTGATGCTGGTGGTGTTGGCACTGCCGGTGGTGTTGGTGATGCCGGAGGTGTTGGTGAAACTGGAGGTGTTGGCTCCGCCGGTGGAGTCGGTGATGCCAGTGGCATTGGTGGGGCTGGCGTTGGTGTGGGTTTGGCTGCTGGTGTTGGCGGGGGTGCGGGTTTGGCTGGGGGTGTTTGGGGTGGCGGTGGGGTTGGCTCTGCCATTGGTGCTGGTGGCGGATTTGGTATCGGGGGCGTCGGTTCCACTGTTGGTGTTGGCGATGGTATTTGCTTTGGGGGACCATGGCGAGGGTGGTGGTGATGGGGATGGTGGCGAGGGTGAGGGTGGGGGCGGGGCAAATAGGGCCAACGGGGCGGCGGCAAGTAAGGCCACGGGCGGTAGTAGGGGAAAGGGGGGAGAGGGAAGTAAGGAGTCCTCCAGGGTCCTCTCCACAGCCACATAGAGCTCTCTGCAGTGGAATCGTCGGCGGCGGCGGCCGCTGCTTCGCTGGATCTCCAATTAGTAACTTCTCTAGCATTGCAAACCTCACAACTTATGCACCACACTAAAAACGCAACAGCAAATGCGGACACGAGGCTCTTGAAACTCAACTTCCCCATTTCGACTTTTCTTCTTTTGGTTTGACGAGAGAATGAAAGAAGGGTGATTCTGTGCTGTGAGGTTCTTATATCAAAAAAATGAAAGATGGTATGAAGGATATATTTACTAAAAATTCAAACTGAAAGAGGATGATTTGTGGCAAACCGGATGTTAATGCCACCCCAACTTTTGAGTTTAACTTTCGTAATTGTGATGAACCGATCGAATTCAATTCGAAAATGTATCGTTTTGTGGGATTGTCTGCTAAATCATCCTATCAGTGGGACATTGTCGAAGTAGATTATCTCGTACGAGCAAAATCTTTTGTTTTTCCTCTTTCTGCGGTTCCTAGATCTTACTCCTTACTTGTCAAGAAGACGACATAGAATCCTTGTTAGTTATTTGAGTCTGCTTCGACAAATCTAGAAGTCAAGATATCTAAAAGAAGAGAAGCTGCATGTATATAGATAACGTTCATCAACTTAGTTGAAACTTGGGTATTGTCGATATATGGATCCAGATATCCCCTAAAGTCCCGCATACAAGATTTAGATTAGATAGGAGATTTGATACGTTAAATGCAAAACTGAAAGGTTCAAACTTCAAACTGTAACATGTAAGATAGAATCACGGACTGTTGTTCTATTGCCAAGCAGCAAAGGGATAACATCTGGCAGGATAAGGAATTCAAATTTGGAAGTTTAATTACTGAATCATTTCGATATGCAATCACCGTGAAATTCGTTAAGGTGCTTGAACAGCCTCGATTAAAATATTTTTAGCTAAAAAAAACAGATATAGCCAAATTAAGATTTGTGTAAAATTAGAGATTGATCTAGTCGGGTCTCCATTATATTTGTACCTTGTTATTGTCAGTGGCGCCACCAGTGACACATACATCACATCATGATTTATAGAAGAAAGGAGGGTTATTGGATAATTACATTTAGCTTGGTAATACTAAAATATCATAACTTAAGGAGACTAACAATAATATATGGGAATAAAGATTTTATAATATCATATGTGATAAGTAGGGGAACACAAATAGATAAAGTACGATAATTGAAGATTGCAGCATATTTTTTTATAAAGATAACAATGGTTTGATGTAGATGACATCGACCTTAATATATGTATGGAAAATAACGGTATAATGAATTTGATAACTAAATTCTAGAGCAGCTTACTTTTTCATTTTCAGATTATTTATCCTTTTGAGCAACTTCAGTTATTTCTTCTAAAATTTTAAAGTATGCTAAGATATCAATTGGAATTTCAGTCTACCAAGATATGAAATGAATTTTCACCTATTCTGTTCATGTGACATGTTCATTCTGCTATAGTATAGTATGATGATATTCCAGTACCCAAAAACGTATACATTTAAGCAAACATGGTTGTACATTCTTTCTATGAGGCACATCTGTAAAAATATCTGCATCAAAAGGAGCAGGAAGACACAAGAATAGATAACTCACATTATATATGAATATGTCTGATTAATTATTATATATGATTGTTGTAAACTAAAGTGATAGGATTTATTAATACCAAAAACTGTAATAGGATTTATTTATCTAACAATAACTATTATACGTTACGTATATAGCATCTGTAGTTTTTTGATTTCATTCAGTTAAGTGAACGAATTGTTGGAATGAACTATAAATTGTAAACTTGCACATAAAATAAGATCTATCTTTTATTATTTTTTTCTCTTAAAATTAAGTGAATGTGTTTACTAAATTAAAATTTATTTAAGCAATGAAATAAGCTATACTTTGAATCATAAATAATATTCTTGCAGTAATATATCATCAACAGGTGTTGTGACCGGCAGTGTCGATTAGTAAGTTGTGTGGTCACACAAAAATATTTTTATTATTAATTTTTGTGCATCCTTTACATTAAAGTGAATGTCTTTTTTTATGTTAAATTTATTCGACTAATGGAATAAGCTATTCTTCAAATTATAACCAATTTTTTGGTGATAAGATCTACGTATTTCAATTTTTTCTAGAACTAATTTTATTGTAACATTAGAATTTAGTGAAAATTACTCATTTAAGGAATAAGCTATACTTCAAGTTATCAACAATTATAGATGAGATACTCTATATCTTCTTTCTACTTTTCATTTTGCTTCAATTTACATTTTTCATTAATTTCTACTATCAGGTAGAGTTTCAAATAGGCCATATCAGTCAAAAATATATTTGGAGACACTTCTTTTCTATCCATTTTCTTCAATTTTAAACTCGAGAAAAGATAGAACTTTGTGGATTATACATCAACAATTTTAAACTTATCAAGAAGTTCATATATGCTTGTACGGTACAGGTGTCAAAGCAAATGACAATATATGCTCAATCCTAAATAATGAAGTTACGCTGTAGATAGTTTTATATCCTTATGTGTAAACACAGTTCAAAAGCGATCCACCGATATTCTTTAATTTTAGATCCCGTGCATTCATGCTAATTCAAACTAAATTTACATAAGTGTTAGGAAACAAAAATACAAATCGGTACTCATGGCTAAACTACATCACAAGATAATTACATAGTCCTGACATAATTAATTCAACGTAACAGAAATGAAATTTCTTCGAAACTTAGGTTATGTGGAAGAACGATCGATCATCCTACTTTAATGCATGCAAACTCAGTGATAGTTAGAGACTATAATCACACAAAAGAATAATGACTATGGATTAAAAACCTCAATTTTTCAGTTGTTTTTGTTATCGTTTAAGTGTTTGGATAATTGATTGAATCTATGATTAGACAAGTTTCTTTTTGTTATTGAAAAGAGCTAGTGCTACCAATGTCGATGAGACGATGAGTTCAAAGTCATAAGTACTCAAAGTGTTCATAGATGTTACCAAAAATATTTCAAAGTTGGGTGGAGTTAATTTTTTTTTGGTCTCACTCTTCTCTTCTACGTACATGTGTGTGCGATACTCACAGGGATCGAACCCCAGACCTGGTACTCTACGGCTCTACCTCCCAATCTCTTTACCAACAGGATCACATGTTTGTTGGCAGATGGAGTCAATTGACTAGTGATGTTATGTGGCAAACGATTTGCACTCTTTTTATTGGACCTTAGCTGATTTCGTCGGGCCCTTCTGAGGTCAAACTCAAGAGGCTTCCTTTGCTTGTGGTGTGCAGCTCGGCTCCCACTGAAGGTTCAAGCCAGCCTAGGGGAGCTCAAGAAAACTATGCATCATCAAGTTTACACATTGGCTACACATGGACATGCCTAATTTATGCATCCCTACCTAGAAAACAAAAAAGTGATCTAGGATTGTGCCCTTAACTTTGTTTTGCACGACGCCAAACTAAACAAAACAGCTTGCAGTCAGGGGTTGCCTTTGAGAAACTACAGATATCAACTTGTCATTTCATACTTTCTTCTTCTCCTTAGCAGGATTAGAGTTTGGATCCACGTCTTTCTGTCTAATACTTTTCATTCTCTTGCTTGACCTGTAATCCAAGGCTTGCTCCACTCTTTGATTTTCAGATCTGTACTTGGACATCCGCATACATTGACATGAGCTAGAGGTTGAAGCAAACACTTACCTTAGAAACAAAACTGTACTGGCCATATACCATCATAATTTAGAAAAAGTTGATGCCCCCGAGTTATCTCACAAGTCTCCGAACAACCGGGTTTCCACGCTAATATATCTAAATTATGAAAATATGAAAAAAAACCTTAAATGAGATAATAATAGAAAGTACTTCTACACTAAAGTCGAATTATCTTTGCTTAGCTAAATGGACAATGGATCAGTCGACAACGTCACCTTTGATTTTTGATGCCATCTAATCTCCTAAGCTTTTATGAAGAATCAATGTGAAGCCTATTTTTTATCGTTCGGTTGAAGATAAAGTCACTCTGAATAGAAGCAGTGAATTCACAAGTGTTTGACAATTCAACGATTGGAAGGAAGAACGATCCAATCCCACCCACTGCCCCGATGCTGAATCTACTTTCGAGTAGCTTGACTTTCATTACCAAAGATCACTGTGAAAACCAATGTCTCTGCAATTAATTTTAGTCTCCTTTACTTCATAAATGCCGTCGAGAATATACTTAATCAAGTAGATTGAAAGATACAAATTAAAATTTGAGAAGGGCCTTTTGGCATCCTAGGTACAGTATTGTTAGCTCTACGCTGGATTCTTATATGAATCAGCAGATCCCTTGAATCAACAGAAGGAAACAATTTCCCGCGCATCATTACTAACTGAACTCATTCGTTAACATATACTTCCCTCTCTGTATCTGCTTTTCCCAGAGGTCGATTTAATTTGTTAACGAGTTTTGTGCCACGTTTTACGTATTTTTTTTCTCTGTCTGTTGTCGTTAATATAGCGGAGTATGAATTGATCCTTACTCGACGGGGCACGCTTTTACCGACCACACATCCTCCCTACTAATGACAAGACTTGACGTAAGTACTTGAAAAATTATGTCTTCTGGCAAACTTAAATTTGTCATTCAACGAATGGGACGCGAAAACTTCTAGGTGACAACCCGTTGATTCTTCAATGGAAACTTTTAGGAAATTTCCCGGAAACTTCTTGGATGACTCAAGGTGTTGACTATATGGACTCAAGGGATATCCGAAGACCAGTGCCCTCTTCCCTATTCCCATGACGCCCGAGGCTGAGAGGTTATCATATTTGTTGACTGGGTCCACCTTATGTGGGGCCCAGCCAGTACAAAAAAAAAAGCAACAAAAAGAAAAGGGGCAGCTTCATGCGGTCATGGGAGCCCACAGAGAAGAGAGAGAAGGCAGAGAGCACCGAGAGCGAGAGAACAAGGGAGAAGAAAAGGGGCGCATCTTCGCGGTCCCGGTTCGAGGGCCAAATGTTGTCGAAATTGGCTCAAATTTTAGTATGTTGTTCGTGAGACCGAGAGCTACGAGTTGATAGATTTCGTTTGTTGAGAATCTCCTATGAACTCTTCAATCACGGTTAGGGTTTCTCTCCTTTCTTTTGTGTAA